AGAGAGGGAGAGAGAGAGGGAGAGGGAGAGAGGCAGGGAGAGAGAGAGAGGGAGAGAGAGAGAGAAGAGAGAGAGGGACAGGGAGAGGGAGAGGGGGAGAGGGAAAAAAAGAGGGAGGGAGGGAGAGAGGGAGGGAGAGAGATAGAGGAAGAGAGAGATAGAGGATGATAGAGAGAGGGGAAAAAGAGAAAGCGGGAGCGAGAGATAATGTGGGCACGGCCAAACATCGGGATGGCTTACGTGTTATCAGTTGAGCATATCAATGAGGTTCTCTTCAGCAAATTTTCAGAGAGATTCCCACATGCATTCATAAATCATCATGAACACAAGCACACATCCCAGTAAAATGAGGTAGACTTAGGTTAGTCTTAGATGGGGCACATGTGAAGAGGAGGTCTGGAGAGAGAGAGAGAGAGAGAGAGAGAGAGAGAGAGAGAGAGAGAGAGAGAGAGAGAGAGAGCACGTGATCGTATGACGAGCAAGCGTGTTTCGGTTGCATTTATCGTGTATGATTAGAAAGAACAACACACTGCTGATGCGAAATTATAGTGGATCATTATAGATTATATTTCTTTTGTGATTTCCGAAATATTTATAGTCGTTTTGATTGTAGTTTCCCAGTAGTGGGTGAGGTTTTACTAACAATACGTTGACACTATTCACCTTGCTAGACATGTTCGCATGTAGCGCCGCCTTTCGTTATATATATATGCTGTCGTGCTCCATTTTCTTGTTAAGAAAGGATGCGGATAAGCACATGCTTATTATTATATATATTTCCATTTCTTCGCATTGACTTTAAACATTTTAAAGTCGCACACTAATTGATGCAAGGTTATGAGTATGCGTATGTGTATATATTCTATACAGCTGTGCTTATTTCTTTGTCGGACAAATCTCGATGCATGACCCATGCACGCGTATATCCTAGTGTGGCACGATATCAAGGCAACACCTTTAAGCGCCCGCGCGGTCGCAGCACCAATTACCGTGCATATTGTAGGCACGTCAATATTTCCCACACAACGCCGCGAAAAGATTAGACGTTTCGCATTCATCGTCCTTCGCCGCTATTTGTCGCCCATCTAATAAATGATTAGAGAAGACGTATGGCCAATTTTGCTTTGAAAGCTGCTGACCTTTGGTGCCTTGCACGACATCTACGTATTATTCCGCTGTGATGTAGATATTCGCGTGCGCACGTTCGTGTATGTCATACATGTAGGGGGCGCGCTACAAGGAACCGAGATTCTCGTTCACCTCATCGGCCAGCTGCCCGCTTGCCAGAGGTGGCGCTAGCAGAGAGGCAAAGGTCCTACTATAGGGAAAACAGTAACTCGTTGTGGGCTCTATACAAAAATTGTCGTCCAGTCTCTTCATCGGCCGAGCTGCGCTATGTTTTCAGGTATTGAACATGAGGAATAGTATGTAGGCCTATGGGTTATGAGCTACGAGTAGAAGATGCACATATTCGTTCTAGGACTGTTAAAGCCTATGCGAACCCCCCCCCCCCCAATGCACGTTAAACCTAGTAAACCTTATTATCAGTATTATTTTTGTTATTGTTTTTGTTTTTGTGATGGTGGTTGCGGTTGTTGTTGTTGTTTTTGTTTTTGTGGTTGCGGTTGTTGTTGTCGCTATTATTTTATTGTTGTTGTTGTTGTTGTTGCTGCTGCTGCTTCTGTAATAGTAATAGTAATAGTAATAGTAATAGTAATAGTAATAGTAATAGTAATAGTAATAGTAATAGTAATAGTTTTATAATATTTAATTATTTATTTATAAACACAGTCCAGCCTGCAAATAAGGATTGTTCAGAAGAAACCTCAAAAGTGTCCTTTATAGACAGGTGTCCGTTCTATAGAGATGTCCGCTAATAGAAGGGTGCGTGCCTGTACGGACGTAGGCAGTTTGATTCGGGCTAGGATATAAAGCTATTTGTGTTGTTATTGTAGTTCAAGTTGTAAAGTGTGCAGGTAATATAGCAGCCTTGCCCTGTCTTGCTACTATTTTTACTATTTAGGTTTGTTTTTGCGTGTAGTTTATAATATCAGGAGTGAATAATAGAGATCTCTATTATTCACTCCTGATAATATTATGTGCTGTAAATTTAGTCCTTCTGACGTATACAATTGCAAATGATTTGGTATAATGAATGAACCCAGTGTATTTAGTATGCATGCGTGCATGAATTCGTGCGTGCACGGATTCGTGCGTGTATAGGTTAGTGCGTGCATGGGTTAGTGCGTGCCTGCGGACGGGCGTCCGTTCGTGCGTGCGGGTTTGTGTGCGTGCGTGCAGGCGGTCAGTTGGGAGTCCGAAGGTGTACGCGTCATTTGCTTCATGTGTTTAACCTTCTAAAAATGATATAAAGTACGTTTACTCGGCTTTCACTTGAGATTACACACCATAGTGACGATGATATCAATTGAAGGAAAAGCATTACCGTGTTTTCCTTGATGAAATATTGCTTTTGCTAAGTCGGGATTATCTTTGCCGGGTGTGCGAAACCTCATACGGCCCGCGCAAGCTAATAACAAACTGTCTGCGACGCTGAATTGCGTTTCTCCGAAACTTTAAAAGCCCTGGGACTTGGGCGAGCATCTTTCCTTGGTGGCCGCCACGCGTCGAGGAGCTTTCAGTGTCTAGCGCAAATCATCCTAAATGTGTTGCAGCACCTTTGTTTGGTGCATTTACGCAGGTTTCTTCGGCAGCTCTACGGGCATGATTAACTGCCCAGTGCTGCAGACGGCTGCGTCGAGTGGTGCTGATCATGACTCAACAGAAATATTCTGCGCAGTTGTTTGGCATATGCGGCATAGGCGTGTATACTCGTACTTGTTGCGCGCTTCTGAGAGCGGCAACTACCTGATCATGAAGGTTAGTTCATTATACCGGTTGATTAAATGTACACTAAGAAGCCATGCGGCTATCTATGTTCCTCCTGTTCAACAGAGGTGCACTGCATAAAATGGCACGTTGCACGATATAGACATATCGAAGGACGGGCGAAGGACGGGTGTAAGGCCAAGCAGACATGCAAGCAGGCAAGCAGACAGACAGGCAGACACATAGATAGACAGACAGAGAGGCAGACATGCAGGCAGGCAGACACACAGATAGACAGACAGGCAGGCAGGTTGACAGACAGAGAGACAGACAGGCAGACAGGCAGGCAGGCAGGCAGACAGGCAGGCAGACAGACACACAGATAGACAGACAGACAGACAGACAGACAGACAGGCAGGGAGCCAGCCAGCCAGACTGACTGACGGACGGACGGACAGCTAGACGGCTAGACAGACACAAACGCGCGCGTGTACTCACGCACCCACGCACGCACATAGGAAGACAAGAGAGAAAAAGTGAAGTGAAGGAGGTGGGAGAATGAGGGAGGGGTAGAGAGAGAGATACATACAAAGAGAAAAAGAGGGAAGGAGAGAGCGAGAAAAAGAGAGAGAAAGAGAGAAAGAGAGAAGAAGAAGAAGAAGAAGAAGAAGAAGACGAAGAAAAAGAAGATAAAGAAGACAAAGAAGAAGACGAAGAAGAAGAAGAAGGGGAGGAGGAGGAGGAGGAGGAGGAGAAAGAGGAGGAGGAAGAGGAGGAGGATGAAGAAGAAGAATAACAAGCAGCCGTGATTCATAGTGCTTGTGTACTTATATTAGCGATAGGGAGTGTTATGAGAAATCGTAACTTCGTATCGGAAAATTGTATCCCTCTATGGTCAACAATTATAGGACGCATCTGTGTCGAGTAAGAATCGAGAATGCTGCGTGACAGAACATTATTGTGGGCTAGGGTTGTTTGAACTCGTGGATATATGGGTGGGGTGGTTGTCTTGGTGGATCGTTTGAGTGAGTGAGAGAGCGAGCGAGTGAGTGAGTGAGTGAGTGAGTGAGTGAGTGAGTGAGTGAGTGAGCGAGTGAGTGATTAGGGGAGCGAGGGTTGGAAATACCGAAAGGGACCGAAGGTTATAAAGGGCAAGAAAAGAAGCACGAGAAGAGAGATGAGAGAGCTTCCCTTGATAGCCAGAACGGAAGCGAGGCGCGAGACCGAGAGAGAGCAGAGAGCACGTTGAGTGTATGACGAGCAGCGTGTTTCCGGTTGCATTTATCGTGTATGATTAGAAAAGAACAACACATGCTGATGCAAAATTATGTGGATATTATAAGATCTATATTTCTTTTGTGATTTCCGAAATATTTATTAGTGTTTTCGCATTTGTAGTATTCCAGTAGTGAGTGTGAGTCTTTACTTAACAATAACGTATGCACTATTCACCTTGTAAACATTGTTCGCAACTGTAGCGCCGCCTTTCGTTAATATTATATATGCTGATCGATGCTCATTTCTTGTTAGAAAGGATGCGAGATAAGCACAATGCTTATTTATTATATATATTTCCCATTTCTTCGGCATATGACTTTAAACATTTTTAAAGATCGCACACACTAATTGGATGCAAGGTTATGAGTATGCGTACATGTGTAATATTATTCTATAAGCTGCTGCTTATTTCTTTTGTCGGAAAAATCTGATGCATGCACCCATGGCAGCGTATATCTAGATGCTGGCACGATATCAAAGGCACACTTTAAGCCGCCGGCGCGGTCGCAGCACCAATTACGTGATATTGTAGGCACGATCAATATTTCCCACACAACGCCGCGAAAGATTAGACAGTTTC